GATCACTAACTCATTTGGAGAGAAAAGCTTGGAGAGGGTTAGATCATAGGTATTTTCCACAGTAAATTATTTACTATTAACTATAGGAAAAAATTATCTGTAAGGAGAACAGTCCAGGAAACCAATTAAAAAAGAGGACTCTAGGGGGTATGTATTCAGAGAATTGTGGGGGAAGTTGTGTGCAAAGCTTCCACTCAAGTCAGTGTCTAGAGGGGCATCGTGGTGGATGGGCAATGAGAAAATGTCTTTAAAATGACCACCTTTAACTGGGTAAATAATGAAACCTATGACTTACTAGGTAATGACTGTGTTCATAGCCTGATTAAAAAACTGGGATAACCAACCATGAAAAAAACAAAACAAAACCCAAACCAACCCAAACAAAACCAATGACAACAAAACCACAAACAAACAAAACCCCAAACAATCCAGTGAGGGGGAGGAGGGCAGGCTACATGTCAATGCTTTGCCTTTCTGCACAGCTCAGAACACTTCAGAAAAGTGGGCAAATCTGATCCCATTTTGGATAATAACTGGGATAAAGAAGCAAAATGACTTTGCAAAGAGGTGCTCCCCCCATTAAAATCAAGGGTGAATGCACATGCCTGTTTTGTTCTAGAAGCCCTTAGCTGAAACTGGTGGTGGTCCCAGCAGAGCACACAATGTACTTTTTAATGAGTTTGTTGCTCACATGATCTGACTCCTGACTCTGATGCTTTCCATTTTATCATGGAAGGTATTGTGGTGTGGTGCTTAAAAGGTAGCTTGTGCTTCCTCTGCTAGTATCTATTTTGTAAATAACAAAAAGCCCTTTAGACTCCACAGAAACTATTATAACACCTTTTCTCTGCAGTAAATTATGACCAAATAGCAAAATGTTTTAAACTCTCAAAGACTGTAACTAAATACAGCCAGCATTCCCCTACTTTCTGAATTACTGCAAGAGAGCCAAATTCTCTGTGGTGGCTCAGCAGATCAAGGGCACTTACTCATAAGTGAACACTCATGCTTACAACACTGTGGGTGCATTGTATCGGAAATAGTGCTGTCCACATATTGGGATGGTGAATGCTTAAAGCTAAGCCAAATAGTTCCTGTGCCTGAAATCCCTTCCTTGAGAGCATAGAGACATTCCAGAGGACAGGCATAAACCGCACTGGTTGTTTTTTGCGTGTCCTGAATGCCAAATAAATGTCTGTATTTACAAAGGACCATGAAACTCTGTGAGTGGGACTCCACTGTTAGTGAGCTCCCACTGCCAAGTGCACAGAGCCTGAAAAGATCTGTGATTGAGGTCCAGCACAAGGCAACTGTTGTGAAGAGCTGTCATCATTTGATGTCTCTTAGGCACTTTCAAGTTCTGTAGTAAACATGGTGACTGCTTTAAAACCAGAGCAGCCCTGGGGTGCCTTGAAGGTCTTGGGCAGCAGCAATGTTTCTGACTGGGTTAGTTGGATCTGCTGTTCAGTGCCCTTGGGAGGTAGTCCACCATCTCCTAGTATGACACCCTGGCTTCATTTCTTTGTAATTCTGACTTGTATTTGACCTCTCAAGCTGAAAGCTCGTAAACTGTTTGTTTTTAGAAAATTTCAGCCAAAAGAGTCATATCGTTTTTAAACGTGAAACAAGGAAAATCAATTGTACTATCCACGTTAAAAATCTGGCATTTCTTCTATGAAGCTCTAGCACCTCTGTGGCTCACAGAGGGAAAAATGGAAATTTGGAAATTACTGTGTTGGTAATGCTCTTTTATCACCTTGAAGAACCCCCGGCCATGTTGTAATCCTCTGAATAACCACACTAATTTAGTGAAATGTCCTTTATCAGCAAAAGCCTCCATCGTGGTTCAAGTCCTGTGCATGACTGGACTTTCAGTGCACATCCCTTACCAAACAGCCAAAGGTACCCCTTACAAAACACCCTCCAGCTCCCACATGTCTCCAGGAGTGCAGACCTTGCCGTTTGAGCAGGCTCGTGCCCAGAGGATATGAAGGCAAAGGCAGACTTTTCCCACAACTCCTGTCTATCCAGGAGATTGGGAAGAGGCTCTGGGATGGGGCAGTGTAAGGCAACAGTGAGGAGGAAGCCTCCCTACTCTGGTTCTGGTTGGTTTTCCTGTCGCCAGGTGAGGAGAGAGCAGGAGGAACCTGCTGGGGCTGCTGAGGGGAGAACACGACCCACCAGCAGAAAAGCTGGGCTGAAGGGCTTGGAGGAACACAAGATCAGTGACTGAGAGCCAGGATGTGGAGAAAGGACTTGCTGAGACAGGAGATTGGTGAAGGAAGCTGACGTGGGTGAGGTGAGGTCTGGGATTAGCTGGCCAAAGAGGAAGGAAGATGAGGTGTTCCTGGGGATGGCAGAAACACAGCTGAAAGGACATGAACGTAAAAGTGCAGTCTTTCAACAGGTCATACAATGAAGCATTAAATATTGAAGTTCTGGTTTTTTCTGACATCATGTAAATCAGAAAATATTGGAATAAATCCTGATTACTGTGGGAGTATTTGAGTGTAGTTGAACCATTTGGGTTGAACTATCTGAGAAACTGTCATCTCTGGAAGATTTTAGTTAGGAAGCCAAAGCTGTTCTAGTTTGTCTCAGAAATAGGGATCTTCAGGATTTGTTTTCCTGCAAAGCTGAGAGCTCAGAAAAACTTGCATTCAACTTCGTAGAGTCTGCAGTGGTGACTTTCAAACCAGAGTCTGTGAATCACAGAATCCATAGAAAACTTTTGCAAGGCCTGTGTAAAGATCTTTAAGATAAACAGAATTTTTGCTTAAATTCTCTACAATTGCAAATTGGAAACTAGGAAAACAATTACAAGTACTTAAATGGACAGTGTAAAGACAGAGGGGAGACCAGAGACTCTTGAAAATCAGTTTTCCTCTTACAAGGAGGCCAGTTCTGTGGAGTCAAAGTTAAGCATTTGGGTTTTGTTTTATGCTCCTTGGGCCCCCTGTCTGCCAAGGATCATCTTTTCTGATGAAGATAAATTGCCTCTGCCCACCACAGCTTTCAGTTTTAGTTCCAGCTGGGGTATGCTGGTAATCCTGAGATAAAAAATAGTCTTCTGAATATGTTGCAGTTAACTTCAGTTGTATAAATCCAAGTATTAGCTGGATGCTATAAATAGACAGGATGTGCAAGGAGGCCAAGTTGAAAATGTGCAGAAACCATGCCTTTTTTCTGTAGTGCTATGCTTCATCATGTATAATATTTTTCATCTGAAGAGGAAACAGTGTGCCTGTGCTTTGTGGCTGCAGTAATTAACTGGACATAATGAAGCGTTGAATTTCACACTTTGGAGAAGCAGATTGGGAAGGATGGGTAATTTTTTCTCAAGTTTTCTTGCTTTTAGTACTTTCTTGGAGGTATTTTTCAGCAAGATGGGGTAGAGAGCAGAAACACATCTGGTTTATATTACATGATGGCTGTACTTTGGCAATGGGAAAAGATGGCACTTAAAAAAAAGGAAAGAAGGATAAAAAAGAAAAGTTTGGCAACTGCAGAATAGAACAACAAAAATTACAAGAACTATCTTAAAATTCCCAGGATTTGTAATTTGTTTTTCCATGCTTGCATTTTTCTGATGTTGCTGGTATTAAAGGGGTGAGACAGAGGAAATTCAGTAGGATTTTGCAAAGCGCAGATATCTCCGTGAAACAATCTCCTTTATTCAGGTTGCCCCCACAGCAGCTGCTCTGATTAACACGTGGGTGGTGGTGAAAGGGATAAGAAACAGGGCTCATATGTTCACTTTAGGAAAAGTGATAGATCGTATTTTTTTCCTCATGTTTTCTTCAACAAGTGGCCGTGAAGTACTGAAGGTAGTCTCTCCCTTAACTGCTGTTATCTATGGCTATTGGGCAAAGGTAAAATTAATGCAGATGTGTTTTGGAACCAGAGCCACCTGAGGCTTTGCGGTGGGAGAGGGCAAAAGTTATTCAAGCAACGCAACAGCACCTTGGGATGTGTCACCTACTGCAGTTCCCGTTTTTTCTTTCCTTTATATGTTCACCCAGGAAACAGGGTTTTCCCTCACACACACACATTAACTTAAGGTGGCTGCAAAGCATGAGGAGCTGAGACTCTACTCAGATATTTGCAGCTTTGAGAAGAGGTATTGGGAGCTGAGGACACTGAGCATCTGTCTAGTTTTGAACAAGGCTACGGGGTGTGACCTGTGAGCACCTTCCAAGAGCACACTAAGTGATGCATCCCCCGGGGCAGCTTTTCACAGGCTCCAATTTGGAGAGTGCAGCGTTCAGCCTTGGCAGGGATGGGGGCTGGAAAGGTTGGGAATCTACTTTCCCTGCAGCAGTGTCTGAGCTATAAGACTGTACCCCCAGGTTGTTCATCTGACTTGAAATAGAGCACTGGAACAAAATATGTTCTGAGCGATTTTTAAGTAAAAGCTAATGTGAAAATGTGGGCATTTAAACCAATGTAAACACATTAAATTTAAAACAATTTGCAAATGTAGTAAATAAAAAATAGTGTTCCTGCTCTTGAAATTCCTAAAGGACACATTTTTCCTTCTGAGTCATGATTTAATTAGATTATATTTTATTAGACATTCTTTACAAATTTTAAAATACTGCTATTATACATGCACAGAGGAAAATCAGTTTGAACAATGGTATGTAGGCATTCATTGAAATCAACCACAAACCAGGAATATCTTATGTCAGTTATCAATGTACTCAATATGTATATCTAAAGTGCATTATGTTACAAAAAATATAGAAAGTCAGCAGCACCAAGATATGTTCACAAAATAAATACACCAGTCAACAAAATAAATTATGGTAGATGTGACAATAATAATTGTCTTAGCCTTAGCCAAAAAAAAAAAAAAAAAAAAAAAAGGAAAATTCACAATAACCAAATGTGCAGTTTCAGAGAGCAATGGGGGAAAAAGGTTTTATTCTGAGCATTTACAATATTTACAGGTAATAAATATTTTAATACTTCCCATATGTTCACTATTACAGAATACTGCAATATGTCTTCAGAAAATCTCTTGCTGAAAATGTCAGCGCCTCCTGCAAAGAAAAAAAAAGGACAGAAAAAATAGAAAAATTAATTTTCACTTCAAAGACATGTACATAAAATTAATAGCAAAAGTGTCACATACTATGACAGGTATGCCTTGCAAGTAAACATTTGCAATAATAGGGCCTGTTTAAAAATATTACAGCTGTAGATACCTCTTTAGGACCTCCACTATATTTTCTTCAATGCAACTCATCCATCAGTATGATGACCTACAGTTTGTCACAACACTGAGGCCATCTATTGCACTGTACTGTACGCTCAGAGTAACAGAAAGGGGCTCTAGGTTTTTTTAGAGTCATATGCTGGAAGATTCCTGAGTGCTCCAAGTACAAGAATTGTATCACCCTATGATAAATATGCCTAGTGCTAAAAAGAAAAAAATACAGTTGGAGAAATGAGAATTTGATTTTAAATATATTGAAAAGAAAGTCCTTATTAACAATGTGGCAATCCTGCTCCTGCTGTGTTAAATGGTTGAGTGTGATGCCAGACTTGGATGTGATTAAAACAGTGCCACTAAGCTTATTTAGTCCCTTTTTGTCACTGATAGGCCAGCTCTAGACAAGGGTCTCTATATTTCTGGGGTGTCACATACATGAGGATATGCAGGAAAAGATGCTCAGGTCTTGGAGTGAGCAGACCCTTTGATAGAGTGCCCCTTGGAGTGCTTGGATGAGTGAAAAGGCTATAATCCTGAAACTTTCCCTCTGTGAGCAAAAAAACTTGGTCCTGAAAGAAAATAAGCATCTTCTTGTGTTAAGCTCTAACTCCTGTTGGATTCAGTCCAAGCTGAAACAATTAGTCCTGAGATCTGGGAGTTTTCTAAGGGATGTTGGCCTTCTGGGATGAGTTCTCTACTCCTGTCTTCCTTATGAAGGCATGAGAACAAAACCAGAGCCTGCTCCTACCTGCTCCTGTCCTATATTGCTTACACTGTAATATTATTTTAAGTTGCTTAGGGGTGCTGCAGGAAATGCTGAAAGGTCAGGTGGTTTTCCCTTCTGTCCCTGTGAACAGCACATTTTTTTAATGATTCCCTGGGAAACAGCTATGGGGTGGAATGTGAAGCTATAGGATGGAGTGGGATTTGCTCTGCTGCTGGACTGATCACCAAGAGCTGTGGGTAGAAGTGTGTGGGTGTGAGGCACAAAGCAAATCAAATCCTGGAGAGTTTTAGAGGGGTTTTTTAATGGGTGCATTGGAACTGAGACTACATTTAATGTTGGGGAGTTTACTCGTTTGAAAGGTTTCTCAGGAAATTAAGTAAGGACAACTTAATTGAATTGAAATGGGAGTATAGATGAAATGTCCATGAAAAATAATTTTGAAGAGCCTGGAATGGAAATGCCAGCATGAAGGTCCTTAATAATTAACTAGTAATATTAGGATACATCCAGCATATATTACAATAAGTATAACAATGGTACATACTTCATAGAGCACAGCTGTGTATGAATGTGTGTCTGCACTACTCAGGCCTATTTCTAAGAGGGTGACATTTTTTATTTGGCCTGGATTTTAGCCTTTGTTTTAGAATTTAAGCTAAGCCACATCTTGACAATGGGCTTTGTACTAATGATAACTTGCAAGCTGCCTTCTGTGATTTGGTCCCAGATTTTGCAAGACTGGCTTCTTTTATGAGGTCCTTATTGTGGTAAGTCAAAAGATCTAGAGATGACATTATTTTTGTCCTTTTATTCTGACCTAAACCCATAATTTTGTTATCAAGATTGAGCTGAGAGAATTGGTTCGAAGATTTTAATTTGGGGTGTTGAGCAGAAAAGAAGCACAGAGATACAGTGAAAGGCCTGCCTAAAGTTTATCTTTGCACTTCCTTGACATTTACCTTGCTGCATTATGCATGTCCACTTCCTCTCTGTAAAGTAATGATGCTTCTCCTAAGCTGCAGTTGACCTTAGGGATGCAACAAAAGCACCTTCTACTGGTGGAGCATATAGAAATCTTGCCTGCACACACCATCCCTGCCCCCCACCAGCAGTAGGGTAGAAGTTCCTGTTTCAGCTGAGGAATCAACCTCGCTCAGATGTGACCATCCCTCTGTCTAAACTGTATTTGCCCACCTTGTGCCAACAACTGCTTAGACAACTGCACTGGATCTGACTCTCCCATCTAAAGGGAGTCAGGGAGTTGGGACTCACTTTCATTTAAAGTGTAGAAATCATACCTTTTGGATATATATCCTATATCTGGGATAACTAAAAGCTTGTGTACCAACAGTTTCTTACAAGCTAAACCAACATATTGTGCTCTGTACTTGTGAAGGAGAAATTCTGTTTTCCTTGTTTAATGTATTCTCTTTGTTTAATAGTCTTCAATGAAGTATCTAAAATATAGGTTCTCCATGGGGATCTGCTTCTTACCCTGAAGAAATACTGCATCTTGGATGATAATATCAGCAAGGTAAAGGTGAACTGCCTTCAGCAGCCTCTACAGTAGAGATCCTTCATCCATCCAACCATACTTCAAACAGAAAGGCTGAACTAGGAAAATCAACAGGGTTCTGCCTGTAGCTCTTTTATATATTCCATTGGATGTACAACCAAAGACAGCATAGTAAGAAAAAGAAGTAACAGTTGAAATTTCCTGGGACCTTTTCCCCCTATATTTAAGATTTCTATGTGCTGAAGACGTGTTATTTACTGACCAACACAGTTCCTTGACACCTGTTGAAAGGTCAGGCACCTCCTGACCGGAGCCCTGAAGTCTCAGCCTTTCCTGAGGTGCTGAGACAAACTGGCCTCTCTTACTTCACTCCTACCTGCTCCAGCCCTGCTGACTGGTTTATGGTCTGGGACACTGAGTGCCAGCCCCAAATTCCAGTAACTCCTCTAGAGGCCAGCAGGAGTTGAGACCATGGAGCACATTGCAAACTGTGGCCTGTAAAGCTTAACCCAAAACTGGATTTTAGTAAATCCTGCAGCCAGCATGTCTTTCTAAGGGATTTACTGTAAGTGGCACTTCTCTTACGTCTATATTCTGCCGAAGTGAAGGGGAGGAGGAGAGAAAATGGTGGGAGTTTTGCTGTTAAAAATGCAAACATCTGAGGAGAACTGAGGAGTGGACTCCTTGGCTTTGTCTGCAAATGTGTGGACTTCCACCCAAGATGAAACAACTGTGAGTGGATGAGTCATTTGGGACATTTGGGCTGATGTCTCCAGCTCACCACTGCCCTGAAAACCCTGCACTGTCATACATGAGGGAAGCACGTCTCTCTCCAAGAGCAATGCTAAACATTTTTCAGCAGTAATGTAATTGTTTCATGAGTTGGCAGAAAGATGGAGCTGAATTAAAAAGTCCCAGTGGCAGGGAAAAGTTCATGGTGAAAGGCTGGTCTACGTTGTCTGCAGATATTGCTAAGAGAAAATTTTTCCATGTTCTCCCCTAAGGTTAAACAGTAAAATGAAAACCTGTAAAGTAAGGGTAGGAAAGTTGCCAAAAAGGGGAGGTGTTGAGAGGGAAGAGAGAAAACTTTGCCATTTTATAGATGCAAAGGCTTAAATAAAAGTCAAAGCTTTCAATCTGCTCAGGCCCAAAGTGTGGGACCAAGATATGATGTGAGAGATGCTGTGGTTAAAGCAGAAAAGGAAATTTCAGTGGCTGTGGTGTGCTTTCTTTTTGCAGAAATCACTTACTACTCAGCCTCAGGAAGCACATTTTGGCATGAAGTGGTCTACTTGAATTGTGTGTCAAAGGAAAGTAAGACTTTGTCATCCTGCAAAGTGCAAGGGGCAGTTACCTTCAGAAAGCCCCTTGAGATGTGCAGTGCTTGAAAAGCCCCCCCCCAGTTATGAGTGTAAAGATCTGCTGTTACTCCAGGTTTGAGCAAGGCCTTGGCCTCTCTCACCAAAGGATTACAATTTCAGTAAATATATGGTATGGTCTCCAAAAGGATATAGCAGAATTACCTTAAAGTGTGATTATGTGTAGTAACAGAGTTGTCCAAGAGTGGGCTCTCAGTCACGATGTCTCCATAGACGCCAGAATTTAGCCAAGTTGAGCGGGTTCTCCTCTTTTTCTTCTCTTGCTCTTTACGTTTTCCAGGCTTTGCTTTCTTTTTCTTCCCTGACGCCTTCAGGGGCTGCTCCTTGTAGGTCTGTGATTTGTTTGTCTCCTGAGTTAGGTATCTGCCCTCATCTTCACTGCCAAATCGGACAGGGTAGTTCTTCGTGTTGGTAGCAGGCTTAGGGTTAGGGGACACCTCCGACGTGGCGCGGATTTCTGCAGTGTTGACACCTTCAATTAAATTTTGAAGGAATATTCTTCTTCGTAAATCTTGGATTGACTTGCCCTTGTCATGCAATAGCTGGTGCTCTGATACGGCCCGTTTGCTAAAGAAAGAGAAAAGGGGAGGGGGGAAAAATATTTAGGATTTGGTTATTGCCCAGTACTTGGCAGAGCAACTTTCATCTCTGGCCATGGTGACCACAGTGGCTGTGTACCAGCTCCAAGGCTTGGAGACATCCAGTTAAGTCAGACTGCTGGAGCAAGTCCTGTTTCTCAGAGTAGCTGCTCCCTACAGAGAAGGGAAAGACCTAAGAGGGTAATAATTCTCAGCTGACCAATCACACACCACTGGACCTGGAGCTGGATTAGTCACTGCTCTGTTCTAGGAAAGCATTATGACTCTTAATATATCACACTTCAGGCAGTAAAAGCAGGAAGGCAGCTGTCAGAGATAGAAAAACTAAAGGGTTGGATAATGGAGCACTGCACTCAAGCAAGAGGGGGAATAACAAGTACTTGTGCTGGAGCCGGAAGCAGTGTTTATATCGCATCATTCTAATAATTTCCTTCTGCTCAATCACATACTTCAAAAACATAAATAAACACACAAAAGTGCATTTCATTTCTAAATTTATGTATGTGCAATTGCAGGAGTGTCATGGAAAAATATTCAAATTGGGGCGCCTAAAGCATGGGCACTTCAGTCCGTAATGAGCTATCCAGGGAGGCAGAGGAGCATCCGCAGAGATAAGCCTCAGCCACGCCTGTTGATTTACTGTTTGGCCACTTGTGCCTAATTATGGGTTTAGGTGCCTTCCTAGTATTGCTTTAAGTGTGAACTTTGGGGCCAAATTTCTTGTCTGCTGTGCTGCTGGAGTTTCGTGCTGGCCCTCTTCAGGAGCTCTTCAAGAGCATCCTGATTTTGTTCGAGCGCTTTTTCCAGAGTTCATCATGACCTTTTAGTACACTGAGCTCTGTCTTGTTTTCGAGGAACTGGGAGATGACTAGCTATTTGTCTTTTAGAGATGTTGTGCTGGCAAAGAATGTATTAAACATCTGAGGAAAGAAGATACAAGTGGCACCTGGATAATAAATAACTGTAAGAAAATACATGCCTTTTCCTCATGTGGAATAGACACACAGCTGCACTGTGAACCACAGAAAGAACACAAGCTCAGATTTTAGTTGTGTTCCCAAGAATGCTATGATACAGTTTATCCTTCCAATTACCCTGCTTCAGTGTGCAGATTTTGGCTATGTATTCTCTCCTCTTGCATCAGGGTACTGCATGTGACTGGATTCTTACTGGCCAAAGAAAATCCATTCACTGCCTTGCCTATCCTATAATCATTTGGTCAGTTAGTTGGATAAGAAGTTGTTTCTGCATGTGGGTGAACTGGAAGAAGACACATAATCGTGAGTGAATATTCCTTCCTTCCATCCCACCTCTCATTTTCCTGCTATATTACCAGGTTTCAAAATGCTAAATGTTTGGGAGTGTTCTGCACTTTCTCAGTCCCTTTACTCAGTCTCTTTAGATTTGTGACTTAATCAACAGTAGAGCTATTTAAAATTGGCAACTTCAAGTAACATTGGTTTAAGAGCGTCCTCTTCACTTTTTGTCTCTGTAGGACTGTACTGTTTGAGTATTGGGTTCAAATGATGGGCTCAGGTGATACTACATCTGTTACCCAGTGAAAAATTCAAACAGCAGCTTTCCTCTGTTGCACAATGAGAGTGTAAGGTGACTAAAAATCTTGCTCAAAATCAGGTCTAGATATGCTGAGGTTTGTCAGCACACATGCAATCATTGTGTTTTAAGTGTCCCAAAATCAGTTTTGAATTACTTCAGTCTTTAGGGCAAATATTTTGTGCCCTTCAACTCAATGTCCCTAAGTAAAAATGCAATGTGATAATACTAGGCTGAATCCATATTGTGTCTTTCTCTTCAGGGCAGCTGTGACCATTAACACAAGCTCATGATCTCTCCCAGAAGAATTCTTTTGACCACTGAAGCTCTCCAATAGCCATCTCTAACAACCTTCTCATTAAGGTCAGTCTGATTGGCAAGTACACTTCTAGAACGAGCACCTTGGACTCCTCTGAGTGGTGTACCTCTGTGCTGCTTGTCAAGCTGTCTATTGTGGCTCATGTTACATTCCTAACTTCAGTAATGTGTTTTCCCAGGAAATTTGCATGGGAAATGCAGTGCTGCTTTCACTCTTCTAGTTTATAGAAAGCATACAAAATCTCAGTGCTTTGCTGAGTCTAAAAGAGTATGTCTCATGTGATGAGCAAAGCTTTCCTACTGCCTCTTGTAAACTACCAAGGATAATTCCTTCTACCACAGACAACCTAAAGCTGCCTTAATCCTGTAATATGTATTTGGTCAATTTACCCACTGTGACAAAATCTTGAATCTCCAAAGCCTGTTATTAAAGTCCTCTTGATTGAAAACCTATTCCATCTTACAGAACTGAAACCTAAACATTTGGTTCCAGTACACACAAGGCAGTCACAGAGCATTACAAGACCTACATCTTCAGTGTGTATTTTCAAAATAATGCAGGGATTGAGTTGTGAGGGGTTAGTGTGCCAAAGAGGGTGGGTTTCTGTTTAAATGTCTGTATGATATTTAGCATCCAGTCTGGCCCCAAATAACATTCTGTTATTCCAGATGATTGTATAACATTACGTAGTGTTACATTTCACATGACTTCTATTACTCAGCCAGACTTAAGGATTACATTTTGCCTACCAGCTTCCTTTGTAGGCTCTAGATCAAAAATCTCCTTGAAACAAAGAAGATGTGGTAGATACCTATCTCTTTGACCTTCTGCCTCCTTCTGCTTCAGTTATGCAAACAACTCCTATGTTTGTAAATCATGGAGAAATACTTGCCCAAGAAGACTGATGTAAGTTGGAGATATCAACAATATCTCACGCACATACACAGAGGGTGTGGAAGGCAGTGGAAACCAGAATGATTGTACTCACATATGGGCTATGATATGAAAAAAAATTTGGCTGTTAGGGTTAAGATGACCCACTAGAGGTCCCTTCCATCCTTCTCATCATGCACTTCTCATCCAATGAAAAGGAGACTGTACCCAAACCAAGTGCAGTAAATGCTAAAGTTACATGTGGCAGGCACTTTCCAGAGAAGGATGTTGATGGTTTGTATTTGACCAGAGTATCCAAACTAATTACTGTATCCAAGCACACTATGTACAAATAAGACTTAATGTCCCATCATGAGGAAAACAGTAGAAATCCATAACTTGTGACTATCCCGACTTCATGTACTTCCAGATAAGCTGTTCTGTTCAGGCACATTCCTCCTTCATTTTTTTTGCCTGAGATATCTAGAGTTACTAAGAGGCAACATTCTTCAAGCAACAACTTTCTATCTCAGGGAGTTGCTCTTATTTAACTGTTATTATCCTTGACTGTCCATGTTGGGTCTGATCATAAATTCAGCAAAATAACTGGAGAGGGTTCAGTCAGCTCTCTGTCTGGAGTTTGAGTGCCCTTGCCACTGACTCCAAAGGGAGTGAAATCTGCTCAACCTATCTCAGGGTAGGAAAAATATTTTGAACACATCTGGGGACATGATGCTGCAGTGTCTGGGCACGCTGATAAAAATATCTAATTTCACTTTGAGGCATTACTGTGTTTCTCAGAAGTTCTTTAGCAGCTAAAGGATTCTTATAACAAATAATATGTCTGGAAATCTTTTCTTGGGACAATTTCCTATTGCTTTCCATGGGAGATTTGCCTCAGAGAAGTCTCTAGAACTAGGCCTATGTAATTTTGATTATTTTTGCATGTCTATAATAATGTGCTACAGTATTTTCATCCACTGCTGGTTTAAGCCTTTGACTGAAAAAAAAAATACCTCTAGGCTTAAGTGAGTTATTAACCATTAACTCTAGGAATGGTTTGTGGTGATATTAAAACAGGACACATGTTTGAGTGTGGTGTCTGTGTTTGTGCTGCGTCCACAAACAAAACTACGTGAATGCCACTGGCTGACAGCTAACTGGTTTCTTGTGTGTGTGTTTTACACACCATAGCAAAGAGGGAGCTGGGAAATGCATTTTCACTGGTTAACTTCCACTTTTTTTCTCCCTGCCAGGACAGAATGGGAAGGTTGGGAAGACCTGTAATCCTGACTTTTAAAAACAAGTGTTTCAACATTGCTAACTTCAAAAAGAGAAAGAGTGTTTCTTAGCAAATCTAATTTTTTTTTTCCTAAAAAACAACCAAATTTGGCTTAGATCCAGTTCAGAGTTTCCTATCCAAGAAAATAACAGCATTTGACTGCACTTCAATTTTCTTTTTTTCTTAAGCTGAAGTTTAGTTCGTCTGTATCCAGAGAATGAAATTGTCTCAAATGAAAGAAATAGCTCAAGAATAGCTTGTAGGAGTACAAAACAGCTAAGCATTAATAGGCTGAGAAGAATACACTGTAACATTATCAGCAATAACATGTTCTACACAATTTGCTGTAGGAGATTTGTAATAGCTGTCTGCCTGGTGCCAAACTTTAGGTGTGTCTGAAGTCACTCACCTGGGGGATTTTTGGTTTGGCTTCTCTTTTTTTTTTTTTTTTTTTTTTTTCTTAAATGGCAGAGGAAGTGCCACTTGGAGATCTTGTATGTAATAAAACATTTACAAGGAAACCCATCTGAAATTTTTTGCTGTGTCATGTTTCCCTGTAAGTTGTGATCGGATTTTCCAACACTCTTTCTCCAACTTGGCTTCCTTTTGAACTGAGTAACAATACAGCCCTCCACAGCATGACTGAGGTGTTTCTTCCTGATGCAAGTCCAGAGAAAGCCAGCGAGTTAGATGTGTGAGGCAGCTGCTCCTACATCAGCCCAGTGGCTTCTCCTGCACTTTGCGTACGGGTATTAGTATAAACCATGCTGATTATTTTGGAAGGAGCAAAAAGGTCATTTCCTGAACAGACTGTCTTAAGTTACACTACCGTTTATCAAAAAATATTCTTCTGCCTCCGAGTAAGACACTGGACTCCCTTTGGATTTTTTTCTTTTTCTGAAGTGGCAGAAATCCAAAGAAATTGTTCGGCACTTCAGTGTCGTGATGGCCCTCACTTCTGCGTCTCCCCTGCCCTTATCAATATTGGCTCTGTGCCAGTGCCGAAGAAATACATGTTATTTAGTGTAACATACAGCAGTTTGATGAACCGGGATGCTCCCTACGAGGGACCTCCCCGGACGCCGAAAGGTACGCGGGCGATAGCACAACAAACACGCAGCTGCGCTGCCGCTCCCCCGGGAAGAGGAGACCCTCGGTTTTCACACCTCCTTCCCCAAAGCTTTGTAAGGTCAGAGGCAGCTGCGAAGCGCCCTATCCCTGCCCTCTCCCTGCCCCAAATCCCCCCACCTGGCGCTGAGGCACCGCCGGTGAGCACCTGGGGCAGGTAACCCGGGAGCGCTGCTGGAGGCTGTGGATCCTCCCGGGCTACTCCCGCCGCCGGTCCCGGGGGATCCCGGCCGCCTCCCTCCTCACCCGCACCGCCACCGCAGAGAGGGAGAATAAAGGGGAAAAGAAAATAAAAGAAACTCACAGTCTGCGACTGATCCCCTCTACTGATCTGCCGTAAGAGGGCATAGAATAACTCAGCAGGAACACCGCGAAACTCCACTGCTGGAAGAGTTTAGTGAACATTGTATCCTCCGGGGCTTAAAACCTGCAAGGAAAGGGAGGTCAGTCCCGAGGGACACATGCGCCAGCGCCGTCCTCAAGCAGTCCTCTCTTCTCTACCAGCTCCGAAGCTCTGAAGGAAAAACAAACTTTCTGAGCTCTCCGCTCACTCCTTCCAAACTTCACTCTCTCTCCCTTCCTTGCTGTCTGCCTCTCCCTCTCTCCCTCCCTCCCTCGTTCCCTCCCTCCCTCTTTCTCTGTCTCTCGCTGCCCGAAGGCAAGATCTCTCTCGGTATTAGTCAAAAAAGCATGTAGCTCACATTTGAGTCGGGTTAGAGAGCGGGTCCATTTCGCTCCCTGAGCCCTGTTCAATTCTAGTCCGCTAAGCCACTGTCTCAGGTCTTTATGCTACAGGAGAAACCCTCTCTGCAGATAAGGAAAGATTCGCAAAAGTCAGCTCAGCTGCCTGCTTCTCCGTAAACACACTCGCGGACACACACAAACACACACAGACTGAGGCGAGAGGGGGGATGCATCTCTACATCTGTCTTCTAATATACCTCCAAAAAAAAAAAAAAAAAAAAAAAAAGGGTCAGGTTCACGTCCTCAGCTTCCGCAAAGTTTGGTCCCCAACTGTGACAAGGAGAGGGAACTCAAGCAGAGGTCGCTGCCTAGCTGGAGAGCCCGAGAGGTCTGAGAGGAGCGGCAGCCCGGGGAGGCTCGGGGGCTGGGAATCATGCTTGGCTCGGCAGGTTGGATGGGGCTGGAGCCTGCGATGTTCACACGCTCTGAAGCAGCCCCTGGGAGACCTGCGGACGGACGGAGGGTTTTGCAAAGAGATGGCGCCCTAGGAATATGTGCGGAGAGAGCGAGAGCCTGGGCGGGATACCCACAGCCAAAACGGAGACTAGAAATAAGCGCTTCCCGGGACCGGAATCAAAAGGGAGCGAAGAAAGGGAAACACCCGACAACGCATGCACGCAGCGGACCCCAAGGACTCCGGCCAAGCTCTTCGCATCTCCTGCAGTCGGGTTTCTCTCTCTCTCTCCCCTTCAGCTCTCCCTTTTTGTGTTTACCCCCAGCTCAGCGCCTCCCCTACCGTAGCAGGGCGATCCCGCCATCGGTGGGGGCACTTTTTAGCTCAAGCCCCAAACGCCTGCCCGGGATTGTTGCGGTCTTTCCTTTCACGCACCTACCGTGGTTGGTCGCCTTTCCCCTATTAGCTGGAGGGTCGAACCCTAATGATGCTAATTGTACGCTAGCGAGGGGGTGGGGGGCAAAGGAGGAGGGCTGGGGGAAGGACTCGCCGTCTATGAACACAGACGCTCCTGGCCAAAAAAGTAAACTAGTGGAAAGTTTTCTCCTCCTCTCTCTCTTCTTCTTCCACTTCGCCCCCCTTCAGCCTGGCCAGGGCGTTGCAAACCTCTGTGTCAGGTTGCGCTCCCGTGCGAGGCTGCGGGGACAGCGGTGCCCGGAGCGGCGGGAGCGCGGCCGGTCACCCCCCGCACCCCCCGGCGGAGGGACCAAATTTTTCCATCACGGGAGAACACTTATGTAAAAACCGAAGGTAACCCAATCCGCCCCTTTCTCCAGCCTGTTTGCGCAAGGAGCTGCCCGCGGCTGTTGCAAGTCAGGTACCAGGAGAGAGCCGGGGAATTTGGTGCGCCCCTTGCCCCCACCCCCTCGGTGGCTCTTCCAGAGGGGGATACCCTGCACGCCGATGTCCTCCTGTTCGACGGCAGAGGCCAGGCTTCGCGTGCAGTGCCAGAGAACACCTGGGGAGACCAGCTCCGTCCCGGCAGCATCCTAGGACCCCCCCAGCCCTCCGCGGCCGCGCAGCCTCCGCGTCCCGCAGAAATCCCCCGAGAGACCTTCCCGCGGGCACCGCCGCTGCCCCCAAGCACAAAGGGGTCGCTGGTTGCTGCCGCTGACAGCCTGATTTACAGGGAATGCTTTCCCAACACCCTCACAAGCCACAACAAAACAATGAGGCGTGCCGGCTGGTTGCTCCTTCTCAGCCTCTTCCCGAATTAAGGAAGGCTCTCCGGAGAAAGCTTGGGTGCAAGGCAGAGCATTTTTCTACCTGCAGGTTATTTTGCGTTAAAAGACACTTGCTGCCACAATTTAAAAGCCGAGCTCCTTAGCCAAATTCCACACCACACAGGCAAATAAAACCGACAACATAAGAGCTGAAATAGAAATCATGGTGAAAACATTAAATCGTTTATGCTGTAAATAAATTCCCTGAACACCTGGCAGGCTATAAATTAAAATGTATAGCTAATAGGCTTCTTTGATTTACACTGCCCTTTCGACTAATTAAAAATAATTGCGAGATCCCCTGAAAACAGCCCCCACGCACTCATAAGTCTATTGCTCTTTTAAAGGTAAAACGTCCATCAAATATTTTTAGAATTTCCCTTCCCCTAGAAATTAAAATTTAAAAAAAAAAAGAACTTCAAACCCCAACACACACCAACCCTTACAGACTCAGGAAATAAATAGCCTTCATAAACTCAGAATACTGAAGTTTCTTCACAGTTTATTACTTCACCTTTTCCTTGAGTTACAGCTGTCTGTGCCTCTTAGGGATCACCCTGGCCAACAGTGGTTGATCTTCTCAGCAATCGCTTCCAAAATTATGTTCTATGTTTAAGAAAAAGGAAAAAAAAAAAAAAAGAAAAAAAAGTTAAATGGAAAAAAAAAGGTAATACTTTTCAAAATAAATCCGACCCTACAGATTTTTTTATTCTGCCTGCAACAGGTTAGGGAGAAAAAGGGTGTTAAAGCAGGTGCTTTTCCCCCTTGCTGCTCTTTTTATTATGAAGAACAGAAGATTCTCCTAATATATATAGTGAAGGAGACCCTTCTCCATTGCTTTTATTGAAAAGACCAAACTTGTGACATCACTAAGTACCTTCCTATGGCTGAGTTTGCCTCATCTCTGCCTCAGTGGGCTTGGGGTGGGGGGGGGAAGGAGAGAGGAAAAAAAACCTATGGCTTTTCTAATACGGCAGGAACTGAGCAGTGCCAAACCCGTTTAGGAGACGTATTATCATACCATTCTACGATGCCCCCTCTGTCCCCCCGCCCCCCGCTGAAGACTGTCATCTCCAAAAACCGGCGCAGTGCTTTTTCACCTGCCACCTACACAAATGCTTAACCCGTGAGCAAACTCCTGGTACCAAGCCTCACCGCAAGCCTGAGCCCTCCGCCGTGGCAGGATGGGGAGAAAAATCCCCTCACCCAGAGTTTGAACCCGCCCTTCCCCGCAGGACGGCGCCCGGGATGCGACGGGAGATGCGCACCCGGGTCAGCGGCTCCCGGGAGGGACCCACCACCACCTGCAGCATCTCGCCCCACCGGCCCGGCCGCTCCGCCCTGGCAGCTCCGGGTGTCCCCTGGCCTCGGAGGGGTGACAGAAGATGACGCTGGACGAGAGGAAGGACCGGCGGAGCGATGCTTTTGGCACTGTTCCCGTCTCCACACCTGTGCGTACGGGACATCCCCGGGCACGGCTGTCCCCGGGTCCAGGAGCGAGGAAAAGCCACACTTTTGTTCGGGTTTCACCTGCCGGGGCCTCGGTTACGACAGGGCTCCACACCAAGGCGAGGAGCTTGCGGTGGCTGGTTGTTTTCCCAGCCGGGACGCACGGAGGGAACCGGTCGTTTTGTTGGACCTGGAAAAGGCTTCAGCTGCGGGGAGGTGAAGCAAAACCCTGTGTTTGCCTTTCTGGTCGAGCCCTCTCTGCCACGATAAGGCAAACCTTAGCATTTTAGGTTTTCTGCCTCCACTTTCTCCCGTCTTCCCACCTCAAAGACAATGAGATTTTGGAGGGATGCCGCACTTGGCTTCTGCCTCCTTTTTCCTACGTATAAACAGGCATAAATCAGCTTTCCTACGAGGAAGTCGACCTGGGAGTTTGGCTGGGAAGATAAGTCCCTGCTCCGGGTTTGGCACGTAATTCCCGAGCGGGGAATAGGGCCAGAGGCTGCGGGCGGGCGTGTGACAGGGCTCCCCTCAGAAGCCTCTCGGGAGCGAAACGTTCCCTTGAAACAAAAGCCATCAAGTGGGTTCAGCTCACTGGGGAGGAGGTGCCCTTGCAGCCTCAGGCGGACAGAGGAAAATAATGACTAAACTCCCACTCGGTGCTCAGAGACGGACTAAATCCTCAGCTCTGCAAACTTCCCATCCTTCACCTCTGTGAAGTTCCGCCTCTCCCTCCTCCCTCTTGTTTTATTCACAATAAAGCACTTTCGTCATTTCCCCTCCCGGATTTCTATAACCTCAGTTGCACTCGTCCAGGGCTTCGGTTCAGACAGGGAGTTTAACCTCCCCAGCCTTTCCAGGGTGGAAAAAATGGTGTTCAGCAAAAAAAACACAGGCGTGCTGACTGCTGGAGAGGCTGGCGGGGAAGGGAAGGGAGCGGCACATCAGTGATTGCTGCACTCGTCCTACGAGGACCAGAAATCCCCTAAGACTTGCACAACCTCTCTGATCCAGGAAGGTTCAAAGCCAGCGAGCGCAGCTCTCTGCAGGCGAGGTGCAAAGGCCCAGAGTTTTTCCAAGGCTCCCAGGGTGGGCTTGAGGGCAAGGCTGCTGTGCAACTGGTAGCAAACACGATTGCTTGCAGAGAGAGGCAAACTTTCTAGCACACATTCATTCTTGCCCGCAACCCAGCCCTGCTGCACTCCGCTGTCCCCAGCTCTGTCCCCTCTCCTCTGACTCTCCGGTGGCCGTCAGAGACGAGAAACTCTTTAGCCCACGTTTGATGCTGTAATCTTCCCGTGGAGTGAAAAGATTGCTCTGGGAGAAAGAGAAACCCGTTTTTTCCCTCCCCACCAGCAAGACCCAGACGTTCCGTGGCACTCCGTCTGCACGCACTAATCTCCTTTATTAAAGAATGATAGAATGATAGAACAGCTCAGTAGAGCAGCCTCTCCCACCCGAGGGGCAGCCGGAGTTCCCCTGGCTCAACACAATGCGCCATTTATTTAGACAATATGCATTTAATTTAATGAGCT